TGAATGATGAATAATAAAATAATTAATAATAATAATATAATAATAATAATAATTAATAATAATAATAATAATAATATAATAATAATAAATAATGGTGATGATGATAATGGTAGTAATGATATAATAATAATAATAATAATAACGATGATAAGGAGAATGATTGTAATGATAATAACAATGACAATGAAGATGATAATAACGATTACAATGATTACTTATAATGATGATAATGATTAATAATGAAGAGGATGATAATGATAGTGAGGATGAGGATGATAATAATAATAGTAGTAGTAGTGATAATATTAATAATATCAACATTATCATTATCATATTTTTATCATTATTATCAGTATTATTATCATTATTAGTTTATTATTATATACTATTATATTTTCACTTTGTTATTATTGTCATAATCATTATTATCATTATTAAATTATCATTAATTAATTACCATTATAATGATTATCATTATCATTATTATTATTATTATTATTATTTTATTAGTAGTAATAGTAGTAGTAGTAGTAGCATCATTAATTAATAATAATACTATTAGTAATGATAATAATGACAATAAGGATAATGATAATAATGATTCTGATAATAATGAAAATGATAATGATACTACTACTACTTCTGCTAATACTAATGATAATAATAATGATTGTATTAATAGTAATAATGATAAATATATTAGTAATGGTTATAGTAACAGTGAGAATAAATATAATTATCATTGTCCCTGTCATAATTTTGTTTAATATTATCTTTATTCCGCGTCAGGGATGAAACATGGCGGGGCTTGCGAGGATGGAGGACGACTCCAGCAATCCCAGCCACGAGAAACGATGCTGGGAAAGGTGAGTCAGTGTGGCGGGAACGGCCCTTTGTCTCCCAACGGAGGTGGCGCGGATAATAACAGTAGTAGGCGGACTTTTGAGGGTTGAGGAAGAAGAAAAAGATTATCAATATTGCAATTATTCTTATCATCATTATCGTTGTTAAGAATGCCATTGTTATAATTATTTACATCCTCTTCGGAATTACAAATGCAGCGAAATAAAAAGAAATGTAAAGGGGAAATTGACAGATAGAAAGATATATATATATATATATATATATATATATATATATATATATATATATATATATATATAATAGAGAAGAGAGAGAGAGAGAGAGAGAGAGAGAGAGAGAGAGAGAGAGAGAAGGCCGGGGATAAAAATCCACATAATCTAACAGAAAAAAGCTAAAAAAGCTAAAAGAGGGAGAGCCCGAAATCAATAATAGCATCTGGGAACGACACAAGCGTTTTCTCCCATTCCCCGGAAACCCCCCTGATCTCTCGGGAGATCCAGAGCGGACGAGACCGTTGTTTTTGTAATCCCGTAAAAAAAAAAAAAAAAAAAAAAAAAAAAAAAAAAAAATATATATATATATATATATATATATATATATATATATATATATATATATATATATATATATATATGTATATATACATATATAGGGAGAAGGGATAGAAAAGGGAAGGTAGGAAATAAGAACAGCAGAAAGTGAGGGAGGGGGAGAGGGCTATTACGAATGATCGATTGGAGATGAAAGAAGAAAAACGGTAGCTGGGCATAAGGTGGAAATCAAGACGTAGGCTAACAATGAAAAATAAGCGAATGTGAAATAAGATTTTTATTTTCCTTTTAGAGTAAAAACAAATCTAGATAGTGTAAAACGACCGATAGGAAAAATGGTAATTGTGACGTCAAGCAGAATTAAGTACTAATAACGACGATGTGCGACATACGAGCGAAACGCAATAAGAACAACAGCGAAAAAATGTAAGTAAAGTTGAAGAAAAATGACGATACATACCAACCAAAATAATACTTGACCAAAACATCAACTCCCTGTCGTATAGAAAAAAACAAAATCACCGTTTTGCTCCTTTGGCACGAAGAAAAAATATTCCTCCTATATCATCCTTCCCCCTACCATTCCACCTCTATAGCCACATCCCCCATTCCCCTGTCAATTCCCATACTACCCTCTGTGCCCCGTCCCACTGCCCTTCCCAGCCCCATCGACCTACCCCTCCCATTCTCGACCCCCTGTCCCTACCCCTTCCCTTCTCGACCCCGTCCCCCTCTTTCCACGCTTTGGTCGCCGCCTGGGAGGTGAGCGCTGGAACGCATATATTGGCCGCCCTGTCTGTTGACCTACTTTCGCCCCAGACTGTCCTGCCTGAAATTTGGGCCAGGGTGGGGCTGCGCGAGTTTGCGTGTAGAGGGAGTGGTATGTGTAGGTAGGGTTGGTTTGTTTGGGTAGAGATGTGTATGTGTATGTGTAATACGAGTTTGTGTGTAGTATGTGTTTGTGTGTGTGTGTGTGTGGGCATGTTTGCGTTTGATTGGCGAATGGGTGGGTGGTTTGATTTGTGTCTGTTTGGATACATTTGCGCGTGTATTCCAATGTATGATTGTATCTATATGTATTACAGGCCCTTCTTCCAATCGTGATGTTCTTTTGTCTCAATGTGGGGATGCATGTCTCTAAATGCTTGTGAAACATTTGTCTACACCTTATATAATGCCTGTCCGTTTAACTTCCATCGAGATTGTGTGTAAAGTTGCTGCCAGAGAATATCCTTCCTCAGACTTGGCATACTGATCTTTCTTGGATATTTCTCTAAGGTAATCATATGTGCAGAATTTATTCAGAATCTCCCTATCTATCTACCTACCTGCCCATCAATCTACATATGTACATATTTGTATCAATTTCTGTTTCATCCCTCTCCCCTTTCTTGCTCTTTCGCCACTTACTGAGTCGGCAGGATGAAGGCAACGCGGGGCAGGAAAGCGAGCCTGATATATCACGATTAATGCAAGGGAAGACACCGAGATGAGTTCTTTACGATAACCCTTGTCTGGGTTAGAAAGAGGAGGCGGAGTCACGGTTGCCGTTTTTTTTAAGTTCTCCTTTGTTTTGGTAATTAGGTAATTTGTTAGCTGATTAATTCGTTGCTTGTTGGTTAGATATATAAGAATCGGTCGATTGATTTATCTATTCGACTATGCATCTATTTACTTTGTAAGGATCTGTGGGATCGTATTTTATTTCTCTACTGAATTTTAATTATTCTCGGGCGGTCATAGTGGTTAGCGATGTTTCGTTGGCGGCTGCCGTACCGAGGCCTCTAGTTTTCTTAGAGTCATTTCTTTAATATCTGAGAGATTTGGCTCAATTACTATTACATATTATATTTTAATCATTATTCATTTAAATATTAATGTTGTCGTGTTTATGTGTGTTGTATTATAAATTATATCAGTTATTTTGTATTGAGATATTTTTTTTTTATTTTATTTTTTTTTTTGGAGGGGGTGTATAACACTTATACCACAATACCATATCATCACCACCATAACATATAAATATAATATACAACACATAAATAAATAAATTTACAATTACTAGTACACCTGATAACTACACTCGGATGTTCATCATTATCTCATCATAGTATGTAGACTCAACACACACCACTATTATTTATATATTATACATATATATTATAATATATAGTATATATTATATATAAATATATTATGTTATTGAATTATATATACTAGATATTATATATATTATATATATATATAATTAATTTATATATTATAATATTAGTGTGTGTGTGTGGTGTTATTGAAGATTGTTGTGTTGTGTGTGTGTGTGTTGATGTTGATGTGTTGTGTATGTGTTGATGTTAGTATTAAACATACGTTTGATTATACATATACATATATATATATAATATAATATTAATATAGTTATAGCATGATGCTATAATACCTTTGAACCCTAGCCTATTTATTCGTCTTAAATCTATACTTTATGTAATTTTCCAATCCCTATCCGTCTGCCTATCACTTACTACTTATAATACCAGTCCTCTATATATTCGAAGCATACCCTAATTCACAACTAATCTCTCTATCTCGAGATCTCATTTTCACTCCTTTATACTACTCTCTCACTTATTATTTTCTCACTCTATTCAATCATGCATAATACTTATCTAAAATACTCGTATAAGTGAAGAGTGGAGGAGAGATTGAATTTTTATTTTCAGTTTTTCATTAAATGTCACTTTTATTTTTTTTTTTATCTCAAATTTCTACTTTAGCATCTTCATCCATTACTATCATTTTATTATCTTTGTCCCTTTTTCTATTACCGCTTTACTTGGTTTTTATTTTTCGCACGCATACGCAACTCAAAAGAGAATAATGCTAAGACAGGTAAGAGTTGAAAAGGATAAGAAAAACGCTTAAAAAAATAATACATAAGAGGCAAATCTTTATTAAAAGACGTACACACTTGATAATGTAACAGTACTCAATTTATAATCACACCACACAGCACTCAATACAACACATCAATAAAACTACCCACACATAATATCATTATAAAGACACTAATTATAGAGTATTATATGTATATACGTGTCTTATACTGGTGATTGATGATGATATTTATATATATATGATATTATGATAGCTGTATGTATGTAATATATGCATATATTAAATGTATATCCATATTCGATATGTATAAATTGATATATTATAGTGTTAATTGTATTTATATATATATATTATATATATAATATAGTATATAATATATCTATGCAATCTACTACTCACACACACATCACATACACACTACAACCCTCACACCAACACAACACTCACTAACATAACACATGATCATAGAACTAACATAATATTGTATATATATAATTTTTGTTAATATTTTATTTAATATATATGCTATATTACGTATATTAGTATTATTACCTAATATTATATATATATATATATTAGTATATGGATATAAATATAGTTATTTTATTATATAATATTATTATATTATATATTAATATTATATTTATATGCGTCATAAAATAGTATATTCATACGCTACAATGCATCCTCCAGTACACGATGCACCTCGCTACGCTGCTGACACCATGTACAATCGAATCGATTACACCGACACCACATGTAATCCACCAGACACATCATAACAGATTACAGAAGAATCGTATCGGAAATAGTGGCAGTTGCCATAACCGATAATATAATATGTTATAATTAAGTTATTATATTGAGTATAATATATATATAGCCATGAACATACATTATAATCATATATGTATATATTATATATAATATATATATATATATATATGTATATATATATTATATACTGATATAGTATAACAATGGTATATATGAATACATATACAATGATAATTGTCAATATATATATATATATTATATAAATATCTAGTAATATAATATATATAATAATATATTACTAAGTAATATTAATATTATATATATATATATATTATATATTATTATAATACTATTAATATATTATATTAAACCAATAATATTAATTATATTATGTATAATTAGTGTTGGATATAATATGTAAGTAAGTATATAATTTATATATATAGGTTATTTTAAGATTACATATGTATTATATATATTATAATATTATTATATAAATATTATATTATTTATAATATATATACTTATATTATATATATATATCTATTATTACATTATAATTTATATTATAATGTGTGCTTACGTGTGATGGTGTTTAGTGTGTGTTGTGTGGTGTGTGTTTCTGATTGATAGTGTGTGTAAACCCTACATTACATAGTATATTATTTACTATATACACATATATTATAATGTGCATGCAATCGTACACGATCGACTGATCCATACACATACCCACACAACAACACACAACACCCGCGCCCACCCCCACCACACACAACACACACAAGCACCCCACACATACATCACTAACTTGCATCATCAACCACTCACACAGCTAACACACACACAATATATATATATGTACTACCACACTATATATAGTATACCACCCACCACCACACCTCCACATACTATACATACACTACAATGTAGTGTATACCACACACACACAACACAACACACAATCACTCAACATATGTACACTACTACAACATCACACTATAATATATATAGTATATATACTATTATATAATACTGTATAGTACTGCCTATAGTATCTTATCCTTATCTATTTATATTATATGTCTATATACTCTAAATCCCTACATAGCACGCACACCTACGTAGTACGATAGGTCCAATTACCTTCAGATATCGAACTAATCAGTTATAAGGTCCACATGAGATATCCATCACAGTATGTCGAGAGGCTCACGACGAAGTGAGTGTGTTTGTGAGGGAGTCGAACTCGTGCAAAGAGAGATAACAGCCGACTCCGTCCTCTTTCAAAAATCACAACTTAGGGCGAACACAGTAAGCGTGGAGGAGTGGGAGGTCGATCTGCAAAAGTAGGTAGAAGGTGTGTCGAGATGTTACCGTTCGTTCGCGCTTTGGGATGGATGGAGCACGGCAAGTTTCCTTCCCACGTGTTGTCCTAGCTCTGAATGATCTCAGGCTAATCGGTTGCGGTTCGCACGTTTCAGCCTCACGTGGGGGGCCACAGAGTCGGCCCTGCTCCTCTCTTGGTGCCGGCAGCTGACCGACATTTCCGATGCACGTCACGTCGCAGAGACCGAGGGGGGTGGGGCGCGAGATAGGGCTGTGGGCGGACTTGCGAGTGTGACTTAGGAGGGGGAGGAGCGGGGAGGTCGCGAGGTAGCGCGCACGCACTGGAATCGACACGGGTGGAGTGGGGGAGGAGGCGCTGGCCGAGCAGCGGCGGGAGTGAGGGTCTGTGCGGCACGCGGGGGGAGACGCTCGAGGCACGCAGGGTTGGGGTAGCAGAGCGACGGTTGGTGTAGATAAGCGCGGGTGGGTGGATTGGGAGCATGGTTGGGGAAAGGGAGGGGATGAGCGGGAGGGTGGATAGTGGAGGGCCGTTTGGGGGAAAGGGGGGGGAGCGCAAGGCGGGTGGGGGGGGGTGGGGGGGCTCGGCAATTAGGGGGTATCGGTAGTAGCGTAAGATCCTGGGTGTATTCCTGCGAATGGTGTCAATAAAGGACTGGTTGGAAGCCATTTCAGAGTGTAAGATCTACTAAAGTTGTTAGAGAGCCGACCGCGTGTAATTCGAGATCTACATTCTATTATTAGAGGGGTGGGTTTAACGCGTCGTAGAGAGATATGGTGGGTATGGGTGTGAGGCATTAGAGTCTTGTGGAGCACTTGAGAGGCATGTCGAGTTACTATTTCGTTCTTCTACCCTAATTGGAACTCACATATGCCTTTGCTTGTGTGTAGTCTTGCGCATCCTATACTAAGCTCATTACGCTTGTATAATTGAAGAACATTGTGTTTCATGTGGAGTGTCTTTAGATGAGTCAATCTAGGTACGTGCCAGGTTTACAATTTTTTGTACGTCTCTATCGTGGGCTGTTTTGTCTAGTACATATCGTCCTCTATGTCTTCTCTCTTTCTTCTCTTTCCTCTTCCCCATATTAGTGGTGAGATGTATGGGCAATTTGGTTCTACCGTTCCATCTTTGTTGTTTGCGCTGGTGGGAGTGGTGGTGTGATTTTGTTAATAGACGTCTCAGTGACGATTTCTGAATTCTGAGATTCTACACTTATATATGTGGTAGACACGGGTGGCTATTCTCGAGTATTGTGTCTGATCTCTTTTTACTATTGGGACCTGTGGAGGAGCGGAGTGAGCCAGGTCTGTTGCCTGTGGTCAGGTCCTGGGTGCCGAGTATTAGACTATTGTGAGAAATATTCTGTATTCATTAGAGGGTAGTATTAATTGGTTTTAGAGATTCTTGTTATTTGTTTTGTTTTCGAGGGGGGTGTGTTCGAATGGGGCAGAACAATTCCGAGAGGGCGTCGAGAGTGTTGGTGTGATTTTCTTTTTGTGCTCATTTTTTGATTAGTGTGTGGGAGAGATTTTTGTTTTCGTTTGAGTTGTATTTTTTTTTTTCTCGCTCTGGTGGTCAGCTGAGTGGTTGTTGCGATGTTTGGTCGTTTTTTTTGTGCTCTTTGTATTTTGAGAGATTTTAGTGTCTTTTACGGAATGGCTGTTGGTTAGTTTCTTCTTCTCGCTTGCTTATGGATTTTGTTGGCGGGTCTTATTAGTTATGGCTTGGCTTGTGGAGCTGGGTTTAGGTATATTCGTTGTTGAAGTTGTAGGGTGTTTATGAATTTCAGCGTCATTGTTGGAATCGTCACTGAATTAGGTGATTTTGGTTCCATTTTTATTACTCGTGTATCGGGTTAGATTTCCAATTATTTGCACCGACGTGCACCGGAGAGCATACTAAATTAAGTGTCAGGCATGTTTACGTTGCGCTTTGTTAGTAAACTCACATTAAGCTCTCGCTTCACTCTGGGCTCCGTCATTTGGCATCGTTGTTCGGTCCGGCCTGAATCTCACTTTATCTCCTTGCGCGAGTGTGGATGTAAGATGATGATCGGGGAGCAAGGTGACCTGTATTATGTAATATGCTATTTGTCTCATTTGCTTTTTATTGGTTGGTCTGGTTCTCTTGTGGGTGAGTAAATTATGAGCTTTATGAATAAGAATAGTGGGGTAGGAGAGTTCAATGTTTTATTGAGATAAGTGTGAATGGAGCTGTAGCTGCCTGTCCAGGAGGGGGTTGGGTGGATGAGCAAGGGTTTCGTGATGCGGAGTATAATGTTTTGAGAGTAAGGTATTAGTGCTTGTTTATGAAAACTGTAGCATGAATTGCTCAGTTCTGTTTTTTTCTGAATCGGGTTATACACGTTTTTTTTGATGTTGGTCGGTGTGTAACACTGTATTTAATTCTTTTTGATTATTCATTAGGTTATGGTACTTGGGTGGTTAGGTGGTTGTATGTTGAGTTTCTCTAGAAGGCTCAGTGGGTAGATATTTTCGCGTCTAGTAAATGTAGTTGTTAGTACACACCGTCGTCAGCTTAGAGGGGGGCGTGGGGTTGGCTGGCGGATGGATTTCGGAAGTATTTTGCCGAGAATTCGTTCGTTGTGTGATGCGTGATTTGGATCATGCTTTGCTGTTGCGCATTTTTCGAGCTGAGAGATTGTAGAGTAAGTACGTAACGGAGATGAGAATAGTACGAAGTTCTCGATATTATGTTCACTTCATTCGATTGTATTTTGGGTGTTAAATCTTTGTGGATCAGAACGGGTGAACCTGCGAGTGGTCCTAGGCTCGCTAACAATCGGCCAGTAAGCGAGAAAATTATCTTTTACCGGGGTTGGGTCATTTTGTTCTAGAATATTGGAGGGTATTGTTCTGTTATATAAGCGATTTAAATAAGAGATGCGTGATGGGATGGATTTGAGAGTTGTGTAATAGAGCAGTTTCTGTAGTTTAGCTTTGGCTTGCATTTGTGCTGTATATGTCTTGCTAAAGAATATTTATGTTTAGTATCATGAGATTATGTTTGCGGACGGTTGGAGATTGTCAATTATCTGCTGCAGATTTTTCTTTTGGGAGTTGACTTACTACGATTGTTGTAATTAATATGTGAATATATCTATAACAATTTTGCTAAAATTGTCATGATCATTATATTGAATTCGTGTTTGGTTATTTGCGATTGCCAATCGCTTCGTGTGAAGCTCTACTGCTTTCTCTCTCACATTATTTCTTCAGCTTTTTGTCTTGGCTCTCATTTCAATGTATCGATACACATGCGAGCTCATCGATAGTTTTTTTATTGCAAACAGTACATTCTTTGAATATGGTTATAATCAAAATACTTTCAATTCTAATAATTGGATTGGAGTCTTGGTGCTTTATTATGCAGGTATCTCTTTTTTCTACGTTCTTCGTGATGTTGTTGCTTTAAGTGATTGAGTAATAGTATTCACTAGGAAGGGACACTGCTAATAGTTCATTTTTCATCACCACTCGTTTTTCTCACACTACGTTCGATCTATGTAGCACTGTTGTTTAAATTCAATATTCAATCTATCAGTGTTGTTTTGTGTTCGTATTAGTCAATTTGGAGGTCTCTTATTTCTATGTTTTTTGGTTTTGGACTTGGTCGGTTCTTTGGCTGATTGCG